ATAGTTCACCCAAAAATGTAGCCATCCTCTTATCATTCTAACCTGAGATATGTCTGACCCAATAATGGAAGTCAATGGTAACCAAAATATCATCTTTTGTGTTCCACACAGTTTACGGTTGAGTAATGATGAGAGAATTGTCATTTTTGGGTGAGCTAACTCTTTCATTCTAAACAGAGTTCGTATTTATCGTGGAGTTTGCATGGTGAAATCGCTATAATTCAGTTAATCTGACACTGATTTAACTGTTTTAATTCTGATTAGGGGAGAACAGAGAGTGTCATAACTCACAGAGTGAGCTTTAACAACATCAGTTTGACCAGTTAGAAATGAGCTGAAACAAACTTGTTTCTATACCAAATTTCACACCGAAATTGCTAGTAAATTTCACAAATAATTTTTACAGTGATAGTGATACAGAGATGAAGATTACTTTTGCTTCTAAGCTTCTAATTTCAGTTGTGGCACATTTTACTTTCCAGCAGATTTTCTCATTTGTAACAGACAAATATGGGTTGAAAAAATGTGTTACAACAATTCTTGGGGGAAAAAATGTCTTTGAAAATGTAAACAAAGCAATAAAACATCACAAATTGATAAAAAAAATAAATTAAAAAAAAGCAAAATGTTATTTGGAATATAATGATTTTTAAAGCATGCTTTGTGAAAAGTTTAACTTTATTTATTAATACTTACTCTTTTCCATGCATTCAGTTTTACTGTCTACACTACAGCATGAGAATTTAAAAGGTAAAATAAGGTTTTACCTCCATCTACTGGATAAAGGAAAAAATCTAATATGCACATTGGGTTTATCCGTAGAAATGGCAAATTACTGACGTGGCGATTAATTATCATTACTGAATATAGTAATTATATATAATTATGGCTTTAGTAATAATTAAATACATATTATAAAAAATACATATTAACCTCAACTACATGAATATATGTTGTGATAGTACATAAAGTGGGCATGCAACATGAAAAAAAGATAACGAGGAAGAAGCTCATAATTCCTCATCCTCTTTTTTTTATGTTGCACAGAGAGCAAGATTTCACTCAAATATTTCTTAGGGTAGGTTTATTTTTGAAAGTCACTTTCTGTATCACACATTAAAAACCTTGCTGTATGTATGCATGTATAAATAAACAACGTGGGAAAAGTACCAAATTCTTTAGCCACAAAAAAGCTTTTACAAATTTTACAAACATAAATTACAAACTTTAAAACAGATGACAACTTGCCCCAACCTGGAAATGATCCTTTATTTTATTGTTTGTCCAACAGCTAAAGTAAAATATGATGATACTGTAGCTTTAGTTTAGTATAATACTAATCACTAAATAAATCTATTCTACAGTTCCTACAACCACAAGCAAACATACTGTGTAGGCCTAAGACCACTGCTAGAGAAAACACACATCTGTGCACGTGTGATTCAAATCAAGTTATACACAAAAACCTTCTCGTGGGACAACTAGCCCCGGTTGTTCCTACCTTATGTGTCTGTGGTGTAGCCTACATTCAGTGTGCTGTTTTCCAAAAGCACTGCAAGCAGATCGTAGAATTATCTCATGTCCCTCAAAAGCATCGTAACTTCAGTAGTAACATTTACCTGAAATCCACCACAGACAGAGTGTTAGTACATGGCGAGTCAAAGACAAACGCCTAAAGGTGCATTCAGTTATTTTTATGTGCTGACTATGAAAAAAAACACTATAATATAAAATACTTGCTATTACTTTATACTTAATATTAATATTAAATGCGTAAAATAGATGAGAATGTCCAATTAAAAGACAATTAACATAATAGATAAGTAACAGACCAATGATTTGTGTGGACCTTAGTTGGTGCAAAAAATAAAAGATAAATTGTGGCACGGGGCATGGTAGAAATTAAGCTACAGATGTTTCTTCACATATCGTGCTAGAACAAGAGATGGCGCTACTCGCCTGTTTCAATAAACTCCCAGAATTCAAAACGCTTTATTACTAATTATAAGCTGTAGATGGCGCAACGTGCTTTTAAAATGGTAATCGATATGCCCATCCCTAGTATAACGTTTAGTTTAGACTATTACAGCTAATTACCCCCCAACTTCGTGTACATATAGACTTTTTACTTCCTTTGGTAGTAATGTGGTCATACACATGATCTAACGGTTACATTAAGGGAAATAACACTTAGTTTGGAGTCCACAACAGAAACCATAGACGCCAGCGGTGACTCACTGAGGGCAGCTTACTTTAGAAATATTCCACTTTCCTGTAACATTTCGCACATTGATGTGGTGGTATTTTATAGGAAGTGACTCAGGCTTTAGTTTCAAAAGCTTAACAGTCTCCTCACTATCACAGCTTTGAGCAAACAGCACAGAGATAAAGACACAGCATTCACAATAAAGCTGATATCACCTCTCTGCATATCCTCATACTGATAAACCAGACTTGACTTGAACAGACTGGCTTAAACTGAAAAAAAAAATAATTCACTGATCATATATATATATAGAGAGAGAGAGAGAGAGAGAGAGAGAGAGAGAGAGAGAGAGAGCGCGGTGTTGTTATCTTGGTTTGTCCTTTGATAGCATTTGACAAGGTTTGCCATGAACAGTTCATTTAAAACCCCAGCACACTGCAGTTAAAATAATTCAAGAAATATGTGTATAAATAAGTTACTTTATTTAAATAGTCTGGTGTGGAAAAACTACACCAATACTGTACATTTTAGAAGTGCATGTTTCCTCAGAAGATGAAACAAAGTCAGTTAGCATTAGCCTTCACACAGAAAATATCCAAGTCATTTTGTTGGATGGACAAAACATAAGTAGCTGAAAACGTAAACAGTTACTGGTCTGCTAATGTCAAGATTATAAAAAGTCTAATCACAATAAAAACAACAACAAGTGTGCTCAACGTTTGGTAAGAAATACATTAAATACAAGGCCAGGACTAGTTATGGGCTTTAACTTCATGGTAAACGGTATAAAAAAAAAACTAGCCATTTACACCGAGTGTCCTGCACTTGGACACCAAACAGCAAGGCAGTGGCATTTCTGCCCTTGTAACAGACGTGACCATAGAAAAAAGGCTTAAACACAAATGAATCCGTTTTCACTTAGCAAAATGCAACCATAAGTGTCATTCTTTAAAAATCTAATGATAAATGCATTTGTCACATCTGAATGGCCAAAAAAGAAAGCAAAACGCATTCTTCACATGAAAGCTAGAATACTAACCCCTGTGCCCAGACCTTTCCATTTATGCCACTATATTAGTACCGAGTCTTTTTGATCATCACACTTCTCACAGGTGTAAATCACATGGCATAGTCCTCGACTAATAAAAGTTGTCAGCCCTTAATTATCTGTAATTCAGGTGAGTGCTATTACTAATACTAGTTTTGTCATTTTTTAGCAATATATGAATTTATACTGTTGGTGTATAACGTCTTAATAGGAAAAAACCATGAAACTTTACCATTCCATGTTACAGACCAGCTTATACTCTGGTTACACAGTGTTAACAGTGTAACAGTTAATCCTATTCCTTCATTAAAGGATACTGCACACTCTAATTTAACAACACCGCAAGGAAATAGTACAACAAAGAACATGGACATCAATAAATAGGGTGGCACGATTCGGGGGAAACAACCCAATTGTAATTAAAAATACAATTGAAAAAAAGCTCCAGGTTTGCTGTGCTTATCAATACTGAAATATTGAAATATTAAAACAAGAAATATTGCAATTGTAATAGCTCACTGTAAAGTATAATGTATTTATTACTAATGGTCTTATTTTACAGAACAACTAAAATTACAATACTAATTTTTATGGCTTAATTTAAATGTCTTTATTTCTTCTTTTCAACTGTTAAAGGGGTCATATGATGCGATTTCAAGTTTTCCTTTCTCTTTGGAGTGTTCAAAAGCTCTTGGTGCATAAAGAAGATCTGTAAAGTTGCAAAGACTAAAGTCTCAAATCCAAAGAGATATTCTTTATAAAAGTTAAAAGTCAGCCACACCTACCTAACATGACTCGTTCTAACACGCCCCCACATATCTACCTCACTATGTGGAAATATTAGCATAATGCCGCCCAAATGTGCACGCAAAGAAAGAAGGCGTGGTTTCAGGAACAGCAGTCATGTTGATGCAGCCATGTCAGGGAGACGCTGTGTTTCAGTGCGAAAGCAAAAGCACTTTATTTGGCCTTCCGGAAGTAGATGCAATTAGGAATCATTGGTTAAGATTCATTTACAACAGAACAGCACAACCCAGATGTTCGAATTTGTGCAACGCATTTTATGGACGACAGTTTTTTTTAACCTAGAAGAATACAAGGCTGTCTGTGCACAAAGGCTATTTCTAAAAATAAATAAATAAATTAAAAAAAGGGGTCAATTCCGACTTTGCTATGACAATCGGGCACTTCTGAATCAGCGACTGCAAGTATGTTTTGTTACTAGTTTAAGTATTTGCTATTGACTGTTCAAATGCGGAGTTTTGCGCAGCGCAGAGTAACGCGTCGTGTGTGTGTGTGTGTGTGTGTGAGAGAGGAACAGGGTCACATCACAGGAGAGTGAACTGCCTGTCAGAAATCATAGCACGTCAGCTGTCTTAACCGCGGCTTGTGTACTGCATCATCACTGTGTCTGTCACGCGACTCTGTTGCCCTTTCGGGATTGAACTGATGGTAAAACTAATGACATTATTGGCTGTCTTTATGTTTACTTTGAAAGCTGAAGCGATTATGGTAAGGGGTGTTACATTTCCGACACGTGCTTGTGGTGTTCTGCCAATCACAATGCACTGGGTCAGCTGGCCAATCAGAGCAGACTGCGCTTGTCAAAGGAGGGGGCTTTGTTGAAAACTACGTGTTTGAGAGAGGCGGGGCATAGAGAACCTACAATAATGTACAGTATTTGAAAAATAATAAAGCATGTCAACATATTCTGTTACACCAAATAATGATCTTTAAAATAGCATCATATGACCTCTTTAAACCATCTACCATAGATTTTATTTTGGCAGAAAACCACAAGGAGACTGTAAAATCTTTGTTCAAGTCAAAACCCAACTTCGGTTTCATTTTGATTAATCGTGCATCCCTTCCAACAAAGGACACTTTCAGAGCTGTTCTGTAGTTTGCAGCAAGGGTAAACCAATTATTTTTGTTTTTCTTTGTGTGTAGTCCAAATGCATACTTATCCAATCCTTAAACAGACCAGTATTTCGTAACACTGAAGAATCAGTTCAGTCAAACAACATATCAGTTTATATCCAGTCTTTCTTATTTCCACTTTAAACAAGCAAACAACTCAGTCACTAATAATCACTATGAGTCTGATTCTTTGAAAAACCTCTCAAACTTGTCCAAGTACCCGGGCCGATGAGGGAGGAGGAAGTAATGGGTACTGCTGACTTTCTTCCCATCTTCCATGATGGGCAGAATACAGGGGCTCCGGGGAGCTGGCAAGCCCTCACAGCTCTGCTTGAGTTGAGCCTTACTGACATACTCCGGATAGGGAGCAAAGCTCTGAGTAGGAGGCATTACCCCATTGACGTAAATCGGGAGACTTTTTGGACTAATGGCACGCGGTATGACCCGAGGAATGGGCTCCCTTGGCGGCACTTTAGGGGGGTTGTCTGCATCAAAGTCATCGGTTGATGGCCGCCTGCTGTCCATGTTTTCACTGAAGCGAGGACGGATTGGGACGCGAGGCGGGACTTCGGGTTTCTCCTGTGGGTGGCTGTGGGGAGAACAGTAAAGGCCGGTCGGTCTGAAGTTGGCAGCTTTGAAGGATCCGGCAGGGCCAGAATGGGAGCGATGCAGCCGGCGCTGGGGTCTGTCTTGGCTCTGTGTAATTGTGTGCTCCCATTGAGGTCCTTCGTGATACGCAAAATTTATCTGACCGTTTCCCCGAAAACTGCGCCTCCCCGGCAAGCCGTACTGGAAGGACGGGGTTTTAGGCACCAGACATTGGCTCTCAGAGGTGCTGGTGAAAAACTCCACCTCATCGTCTTCTGCTTCATCAGAGGAGAGGTCGCCTATGTCCGGGAGGGGTGGGAGGGGCTTAGTTCTTCTCCTGGGCGAACAAGGGGGTATGTGTTCGTAAACAGACAGTTTCTGTAAGGACGGAACCACCTGGTCTCCTGCAGGTGGGTGGCACTGAGAGGAAAACAGCAGCTGTGTAGGATTGGGAGTCTTGGGAGATAGACATGGAGAACAGGAGCCAGACGTCTTTCCTGTGATGTAAAACACAGAGGGAAAAAAATGAGGATTTAAGCACAAACCCTTGAAAATAGCACCTCATTTAAGGTATTTTTCAATGTCTCCATCTCTTAAAATGGTGTCAGCCTCAACATAGCGAGTTTATCAAAGGATTCACTTATCAGCAGAGCAAATGACAATTGTACACTTCCTATAACCTTCTACGCTTCCTAAGAAACATCCGCAGCAGGCTTCGAGAACAGAGGGTGACCAGACTGTGATATAGTTGATCAAATTCAATATCAAGCACTCACTTACTTTCAAAGTCCACGTTTGCAGAGGTTTGCTGATACATTCTCAAGCTGTGGTCCATGGACTCCGAACCAAATCCAAAAAACAGCCTACAACAGACAAAAAATGGAAGGTGTCAATTCTGGAGATGTAGATCTCTCAATATATAACACAGCCAGTTGAGCTGAGGACTGCAGCTCACACTCACTTATCCATGGTGTCGTGGTCATGGTGTTGATTCCAGCACGGTTGGGCTGAGGCCATAATGTAAAAGAGAGTGGAGGCTAGTTCAGGCCTGTGGGGGTCTCCACCTTCCTTGAACCTGCAGAACTCATAATCCAGCCATGGGTAACCAAGTCAGGCCTTCTATGCTCCACTTTTCCAACAGCAATGGAAAAAACTGTATAAAGAAAGAAAAAGTGGTTTGAATATACAGTAGGTGAGAAGAGAAAGTTATCTTGTCAAAAAACGCAAATTTTTGTAATAAAGACGAGAAATTCTTAAAAATGTTATCTTTATTCAAAGCTCAAGATGCAAACTAAATGTTTCATTGTCCCTCTTTTAAAAAGGGACCACTTTTTTAAAGAAATGAATACTTCTATTCAGTAAGGACACACTAAATCAGGGATCCTCAAATCTGGCCCACGAGATCCACTTTTCCTCTTTTAAAAAAAAAAAAAAAAAAAAGAGTTTAGCTCTAACCCTAATCAAACACACCTGAGCATGCCTATCAATGTTTTCAGGATCATTAGAAAACTCACAGGTAGGTGAGTTTGATCAGAGCAAGATTTAAGGAACCTTGCACTAAATTGATCAAAAGTGACCGTATCAACTGTATATAATTTTTTTTCCCAACCAAATAAAACCTTGAGATATAACGTAACTTTGTTGTAGAATATTGTTGTGTATAATGTCCAATAATATGCTTGTTCAGAAATTGTGACAAAAACTTGATTATTAAAAATAACGTCTTTCTCATTAAACCTCATTTAAATAAATTCATATTTGAATGTTAATTTTTTAAAAGCCCAAATATTTGAATATAATATTTTTGAAAAATGCCCATCCCTAACAAAAATATTAAGCATTAAAAAAATTATATAATAAAAAATATATAAAAAATTATAATTCAACACACATATATACATATACACATATATATACACATATACATATATATATATATATATAAAAAAATAAAAAAAAACACTTTGAGCACCAAATCAAAGAATGATTTCTGAAGGATCATGTGAGACTTAAGACTAGAGTAAAGGCTGCTGAAAATTCAGCTTTACCAAAGGAATAAATTACATTTTAAAATATATTAACATAGCAAATGGTTTTTCATAATACTATTTCATAAAGCAATGAATGCCCTAATTAAAATCTAAATTACCTATTTAAACAGGACAAAAACATTACACTACAATGTTCTTTGAAGAAATGGGTTGTCTTGCAAAAGCCACATGTGACTTAAGATAATTTTTTTAATGCAGTTTTTCTATTGTTATATATGGGCAGGCAGATATAACAAACAGCTCAGCTATGAAGCTGCAGTGATGCAACATCAGTTCTTTAAGACATTACACCACAACACAATAAAGCATCTGTGCTAGAAAACAAAACCATTCAGTGAGAAATGTGCTGGAATGCCTGGGTGCAAGTCAGAATGTAATCAATGAAATACCCATGCAGGCTCCATTATGCAACTTATCACATGCTCGGCCTCTGCTTTGCCGCAGTCAGAACCGTGAAAGGCAGAAACTAACAATCGTCAATTCTCCCAGTAAAGACCTCCATGCAGATGCGACGCTAAAGCATAAACGGTTCTTTGTGCGTTTGCGTTGGGGAGAATGTCTGTGCATTTGCAACATCAGTCAGCTCTTATCCGTGAGGTTAAAGCCCTGCCATAAAGGCATGAAAGAGGTGTTAGGTAGGACGTCACCAGCGGGGCCTGGGACAGCAGCCAAAGAGGACGTCTGATCCACTACTCACAGCATCTACTATGCCAAATAGTACAGGGGGGCAAATTATGTATTAAAACCTAACACCACATAAGAACAAAAAATTAAGCTTTCATTATAAATCTACACAGAACTTGGACAGGAAATAAATTGACTTTTTACAGTAAAAAGTGCAGTTTATGTTTTTAATCCTGTCCAAACAAAGTGTGGTTAAAATAAATAAATAAATGCACACAAGCATATAAAACCTTGCAAGCAATGTGGCACTAAAAGTTTAGATATTGTTATAGCATACAAACATTTATAATTAGTTGTATGTCTAATCACAGTGTAAAAGACTACCAAGTATCAGCAAAAAAAAAAAAAAGGACCAGAGCTATCTTGTGTGTGTGTATGTGTGTATATACACATTATATTAAATTAGATATTAGCCTAGATTAGATTATATCCCTGCTATCATATTATTCAGATATGAATCTGTGATTGCAGTGCATTCATATTATATTGTATTACAATATAATATAATATAAATACACTGCACATTATTATTAATATTCAGATAAGAATCGCTGTGATTGCAGAGCATTTATATTATAATATAACATTTCATTACATTACATTATATTAAACATTTTACAAGAAAGTTAGCTTTTATTTGTTTGAAGTTGGCTGTTTTATAATATTTACTTTAAGAAGTATTTCCCTTGGCTGAGAAAAAAAATGTATAAGTTATGTAAGTACTATACGCATCTATACATATTTTTTCACTCATTATTATTATTATTTTAATGTCACTGTACCTCACCTTAATTAATTCTTTCTCCTAATGATATAATAACATAATAATATATGCAATAATATTAAAGCCCATTAGACACTCCCACTTAACTAAAGAGATTTCAGTCCCCTCTAAATCAATAGGCCTATGTGACAGACTGTAAACAAGAAAGATGAACACCTAAACACAAAACAGAAACATACAGTGGGCACTTTGATTAGATGTATAGCTAGTTATGAATGTTGGTATGCAATGATATTTGATACTTTTATCTGTGCATTGCTGGCCAGGTTCCATAGGCAAGTAAATAAAATCAAAAATAGGTAACAGAAAAGCAGAATCAGCTGGAGGCAGGAGGCTGTCAGCCGCGCACTCGCGATGAATCCATAAGAGAGGAGAGGACGTGCAAGAGTTCATCACGCTGTGGTCAATGATAAACTAGGTTACTAGCTACTACACAGGACAGATCGTACTCAACTGGTTACCTTTTTTATTGCAAGTATAAACACTTAACTTCAACAATTGGACATTGGATGACATGTAACATTGGATGACATTATGAATACAGAAATTATATAGGAAGACAAAGAAGAAAAAATAAATAAAAATACATAGATAAAAACAAAAAATACATACTCGACTGGTTACGGTCTTGTAAACAGTTCCCTAGAGTAACGTAGGGCAGCTTGTAAAATGCGAAATTGCAGTGGGAATATAAAGATAATCTGATATGTGGACAGGTTTTCTACATCTATTTCAACACACACCTATTGACAAACCCTTTCTGACTCAGTCAGGTGCGACTCATCTCGTACTATATTCCAGTCTAAAGAACAGTCATAATAGGAGTTGCACATAAACTGTGAATTGCACTGGACATTTTGACATATTCATCTGTATGATGAATGTAAAAACACAAGCAACTTAAAACATATGTAAAGCTACTTACAGGATAAATGTTTCGCAGGGTAGTGTTTATAGATGCTCTCTTATATCCAGTACAACTTAGACGAGTGCTGTGAGTAATCCCGGAGTTTCTTCATAAAACTTTCCCAACAATAAATTAAACAAAACGCACGTGTAGTAATATAGGCTACTCTGCCGCTCAACTTGTCGCTTTCATCACGGAAAGCAGCGAGCTAGAAGCATTCACTCATTATTATTATTATTTTAATGTCACTGTACCTCACCTTAATTAATTCTTTCTCCTAATGATATAATAACATAATAATATATGCAATAATATTAAAGCCCATTAGACACTCCCACTTAACTAAAGCGATTTCAGTCCCCTCTAAATCAATAGGCCTATGTGACAGACTGTAAACAAGAAAGATGAACACCTAAACACAAAACAGAAACATACAGTGGGCACTTTGATTAGATGTATAGCTAGTTATGAATGTTGGCATGCAATGATATTTGATACTTTTATCTGTGCATTGCTGGCCAGGTTCCATAGGCAAGTAAATAAAATAAAAAATAGGTAACAGAAAAGCAGAATCAGCTGGAGGCAGGAGGCTGTCAGCCGCGCACTCGCGATGAATCCATAAGAGAGGAGAGGACGTGCAAGAGTTCATCACGCTGTGGTCAATGATAAACTAGGTTACTAGCTACTACACAGGACAGATCGTACTCAACTGGTTACCTTTTTTATTGCAAGTATAAACACTTAACTTCAACAATTGGACATTGGATGACATGTAACATTGGATGACATTATGAATACAGAAATTATATAGGAAGACAAAGAAGAAAAAATAAATAAAAATACATAGATAAAAACAAAAAATACATACTCGACTGGTTACGGTCTTGTAAACAGTTCCCTAGAGTAACGTAGGGCAGCTTGTAAAATGCGAAATTGCAGTGGGAATATAAAGATAATCTGATATGTGGACAGGTTTTCTACATCTATTTCAACACACACCTATTGACAAACCCTTTCTGACTCAGTCAGGTGCGACTCATCTCGTACTATATTCCAGTCTAAAGAACAGTCATAATAGGAGTTGCACATAAACTGTGAATTGCACTGGACATTTTGACATATTCATCTGTATGATGAATGTAAAAACACAAGCAACTTAAAACATATGTAAAGCTACTTACAGGATAAATGTTTCGCAGGGTAGTGTTTATAGATGCTCTCTTATATCCAGTACAACTTAGACGAGTGCTGTGAGTAATCCCGGAGTTTCTTCATAAAACTTTCCCAACAATAAATTAAACAAAACGCACGTGTAGTAATATAGGCTACTCTGCCGCTCAACTTGTCGCTTTCATCACGGAAAGCAGCGAGCTAGAAGCTATTTATAAGGTCTGTCTACGTCAGACCGTAGGCACCGCCCACTGTCTTAAAGGCGCCGTTTTGTGCAGTACAACACGGCTTGTGACAAACAGCACGTTTTGAGTTCATATGTATTGAATTATTTGACGTAAAACGCTGCAAGTTTTCCTGTATTGACAAAATGATACAATTTCAAATTCCAAATTCAAATTGCTTTCAAAGTCCTTGAGATAAGCTAGCAATGAAGTAACATTCATATTATGTTGCATGTTTTGGAGGCTCAAATACAGTGTTGCCATGTCCATTTATTATAATCGACTTTGGGCTCATTTTTTTTTTAGAGAGCACTGGCTCCCTATTAAACATCTTATACATTTTCAAACCATGCTGATTACACATATAGCTCTGAAGGGTTTAGCTCCTCAGTTCTTGAACGAGGTCTTATAGTCCAAAACTCTGGCCATTTGATAATACCTAGAATATTAAAATCGACTGAGGGTGGTAGATTCTTTTCCTATTTAGTGCCCAAACTCTGGAACAGACTTGCTGGTGTTGTTTGGGAGGCAGACACACTCTGTCAGTTTAAATCTAGGTTAAACACGTGGGCATGTCTAGCTGTCATAGCATGTGGGCGTAGAACGTGGGGGTGTGAGGGGGTAAACCTTTCTGTGGAGGCTGATGGTTTCCGCTGGATCTTTCTTCCATATGGAGATGTGTGGTCTTGAATCACTGCTCTAGAACGCAAACAACTCTGAGACTGTTACTGAAAAGACTTTTACTAATGTGTAATGAATCATGTCCTCTCCGGTCACAGAAGACGGCTTCACATAATCCATTAATAAGACTGAATAAAACCTTCAGACTCAGACACACATTTAATCACTCTGACAAATCACATATGGCAAACAGAGTCAAAATCAAATTCAGCATGCTAACTTAACAGATGAATGTTTGAACTATAAATCATTGAGGAAAAACACCCCGCTCAGCAGCATGTTGATGTGCTGTTTGTGTCCCTGAAGCCTGTGATGATTGTTGAGAGAGGCTGGAAGCCACAGGGGGACTGAACTCCCAAGGAGAGGGTCAATTCATTTCCTGTCCCTGGTCCCACACAGCTGCTGATGCCATGCATCCCATGTGAACAACGTCCAGATGACTATATCAAAGTTGACCACAATACCTCAGGGTATTTCAGAGTATTTCTGTGTAATAATATACGTTTCCAGATAATCTTTATATTATATTATATTCACAAAAACTTTTTTTTTGGTCGTTCTGATGTGTATGTCTTCTGATGTGTATGTCTGATGTGTATGTCTTCTGATGTGTATGTCTGATGTGTATGTCTTCTGATGTGTATGTCTGATGTGTATGTCTTCATGTTTCTTTTTCTATTTTGAATTCTGTTTTCTATTATTCAGATTCTAAAAATGACCTTTCTCAACTGATTGCTCAACTCAGCATGATCATAAAAATGACACACAATCTCTGCATCTTCTTAATTAACAGGAAATGATTATGGTTTTATTGATCAGGAAGGAATGAACTAAAAATATCTTGCTAAAATCAGTGATAAGTGAAATGACACGTGCTCTTGAAAATACTATAACTTCTATAGTTAAAGCATTTGTTGCAACCTATGTCATTGTAGTTCTGTTCTAGTATTTTTTAAATATTTTGAGCAGCTTTTATTTATATATTTTCATTTTTTAATTTAAGTTTTAACCATTTTGGCATGTATGTTTGTCATTTTTATTCGTTTTAATCAAATCACTTTACTTGTAGTCATTTCAGTAGGCTACGTAAACTTATTTTCAGTTACTTGCCAAGGAAACATTTCTAATTTCTGTTTAGAGATAAAAATAGAAACAGAAACAGATAAAAAGTTTAAGTTTTTATCTAAGTCCATCTGAAATATACATTTTATTTTATTTCAGTTACAGAAAACTATTTTAACAGTGTTAATTAGCAATAATAGCACTGGTTGTAATGTATTGTATATATTGTATATATTGTTTACCACAAATGATTTCTACAGGAACTGTATATCTGAATGCAAATTCATCCAAACGCCAAATGAACCAATGTAACCGCTATGTTAGCCATGCTTATCTGAAGCACAGCGCATGCATTTGGCGTACATGGAGGAATTACGTGCCATAAACTGCAAGGCAAATGTTTTACAAGGATGACTGCTCTCAGTGCATGTTTTGTCAATTCACCGAGTGCTTCCCTTGACATACACATACATCTTTTCACTCTCTGTTCTGGATGTTCCGCCCGAGTTCTCCACAACATGAATGATGGCAGGCTGAGAATCCTTTGCAAGTTCACTGGAGAGTAATAGGGAAAGGAACAAGCAGGTGACTGATAGTATTTCCTCTGTCCTGATTATGTGCTCCAGAGATACTCTTTATCTCTAGAGGCAACTGAAGAAAACAACTGAATGGAAATGACATTATAGCATGGGAGGAGATCTCTGCTTAAAAACATCCACATACTAAATCGATAAAAATCTTATATTATAAAATAATAAAGTTCTTATCTGTATCCAAAACACTTTGATCTCATCTCTGGATATCTCTGGATAAAATAAAATTTTTATTGTTGTTTCTGTTCATGTTTTAGGTGTTGATTGCAGAAGGTAGTCTGTCAAACACTGGAACCATTACTTTTACCCCTTTTACATGATTGAGTTTATAGGTGGAGGAACCTGACAGGGCTGTTGAGTAGCTTTCTCTGTTGTTGTTTTAATGGGTCATGGTGGCTCAGATCACCCACTGCATTTTTTCTTATGAGTAAGTCTCTTTGTAAGCAAGCGCTTGCAGTGAGCTTCATTTGATAGGCGGGGTCATGCAAACACACTGCTTGCCCCTGTCACTCCATAGCACCACTGTACTGCTGCATCTCACACAATCTAAACAATCTATTTAAAGAGATCAAATAGCTGAGAGATTCAAGAATTGACATTAGATAGACTTATATCAGAATATGATGATATTTTTTTAATGAATTAACTATGTTGTTATATACATAAACAGATGTTCAGTAAGATTTTTATTTATCCAGAGAAATTATTTATTCAGCAAGAACCCAATAAATTAAAAATCAAACAAAAATCAAATGCTGTTCTTTTGAACTTTTCACTCATTGAAGAATCCTGAAATGTATCACAGTTTCAAACAGAAATATTAAGCAGCACAATTGTTTTCAACATTGATAATAATAAGAAATGTTTCTTGATCATTTTGACATATTACTTGATCTGACATATTAGAAATCAACATATTAGACTGATTTCTGAAGGATACCGTGTACACTAAGAAAAGTCTGTAAAAATACAGTCTAATGTGAGATGAAGAAATTTTCAATGTCGTTTTTTTAGCCGTATTTAGAATTATGCATTGCATTGTGTTTTATGGTGGAAGGAAATTTAACAGAAAATGTACTGGTACTGGTTTTTCAACAGATTTTTTTCTTACAGTGTGAGACTGAACACTGCCATCACAGGAATCAATTATATTTTTACATATATTAAAACAGAAAACAGTTATTTTTAATTGTAATAATATTTTACAATATTAAATATTTATTTTTGATTAAATAAATCCAGCCTTGGTGAGCATAAAAGACAAAAAAATCTTACCGACCCCAACCTTTCGTACAATAATATAAATACATACATTATATTACAATAACATTAAGGGGATAGTTCCCCTTAATCATGATACTCTCATGAACGCGCGTCAGAGACTGAAACAGAAGAGAAGAAATTGTTGAATAACGTTTTTTTTTTTTTCTTAGTGCACAAAAAGTATTCTCATAGCTTCATAAAATTATGGTTAAACCACTGATGTCACATGGACTATTTTAAGGATGTCCTTACTTCCTTTCTGTGTCTTGAACGTGTCAGTTGCGTTGCTGACAGAAAGCTCTCAAATTTCATCAAAAATATCTTAATTTGTGTTCCGAAGATGAACGAAGGTCTTACGGGTTTGGAACAACATGAGGGTGAGTAATGACAAAATTTTCATTTTTGGGTGAACTATCCCTTTAACCAGGATCAATGAAAAGGTATAAAAAAAAAATACACTGTAAGAAAGTGTTACTCATTGTTATTTCATGCATGATGAAAACAGCCCTGCTTTCAGGACATGTCGTAAGACAAATTATACCAAAGTTGGAAATGTGAATAGTCCCAAAGGTTGATTTAGAAATATTTGCATTTCATCATGTTCTGTGTATTGAACAAAGGTTGCCTGGATGTGTCAGGCTGCCTTATGTGCATACCACTCAAAACTCCAGCGACATAAAAAAATGGCCTGTTAACATATAAAAACATATTGCTAGGCTTTTAATATTTAATGGATAGGAAGTATAAATCCGCACAGGAGTTTCTTCAATAAATCAGCAGGTTTACTGGAGGGGAGGATTAATTTCCTCCGTCTCTGAGTCACTTTAATGTGACCTTGAGTGGCGAGAGCAGCTGCATGACAGTAAGTGCGGCACTATCAACCATGACAAGCGGGACCAAAGAGCAAACGGAAGTATTGATGTGTATTTTTATACCAAAGCAGCTGCTCGTACAAAAAAGTGGTTGTATTATACAGATAACAAAAACATGAGGCAAAATGCTTATCTATTCCCCCTTTCATTCAAGTACTTTAGCTTAAAAAATCACAACGGCCACTCTCAAGAGGAGTCTGGGACAAACACACACACACAAACAAACACTGAGCTCCAGTCACACAAATACAAGGGCATCCATTCTCAAGTCACGCACACTTTCCCAGGATGCTAAGGGAACTTAGACAAAGGGAGTCTTTTAATTGAATAAGTGTGCTAGGAAGTAGCAAATGATTTGAGGACAAAAAACAAATGATTTCATGGTAACAGAAACTATGAAAGGCCATTTAGGCTGGATCGTAGAAAAGAAGGAGGTAATTACTGCTGTTTGCCTGGGATATGGCAATAGAAGGACGGGTCTCTGAATTACCCATGGTTCCAGGCAACAGAAAGGGCATGAGGTTTGTTCACCCAGAGGGGTGGCTTCCGCAGAGCATTGTGAAGAAAAGACCAGCACATTAATCTCCTCCAAAAGTGCCTTTTTTTCTTTAGGCTCAGAGAGGAATACAAAAGAGGCTGATATAGAGGAATAAGAAGAGAGAACAAACTTCCATGGATCATTTTAAGGAATGAGGGATGTGTTTTGAATGCTAAAAAGCACCAATTTTATAGTTAAAACAGTATCCTTATTCATAAAACAACAACATCTGAGATTAATTTTGTGCTTTTAAGCACATTTACATTAGTACCTACCAAGGCATCACCAGGTCACTACTACAAAGTACAAAGTAAATAAAATGAAACAAAATAAAATATATACAATTTAAAATCCCCACTACATTTAAAAATATGCACATCAATTCTACCATTAAATAAATAAATAAAATGAAACAAAATAAAATATAACAAAAAAATTACATAAAAATATAAATTCTACCATAAAATTAAAAAATAAAATAAAACAAAACAAAAAAAAATGACATGATCCTGGTGAAATTATATTATATTGCAACCCACATAACCAGTCTGGACTAACAACTCAGCTTTAAATCTACAACATGACAGATAGAGAGATGGGATATCTGTAAAACAATAATTCTTCTTGATTTTTGCACACCAAAGCAGCATATTTGCATGATTTCTGAAGGATCATGTGACACTGAAGACTGCAGTATTGGCTGCTGAAAATTCAGCTTTCACTTTTTTTCTGTCACAGAAAATTATATAATTTTAAAATATGTTAAATAATTAGAAAACAGATATTTAGGTTGGCTTGATAAAGCCAACCTACTGATCTGCTACTTAAACTACTTATTATTATTACTATTATTATTCTTAGACCAAAATTTCTGAATGCTACTCCTCCTATAGCTTTTAATGTTAGTTTAAATTGTAGTAATATTTCAAAATATTACAGTTTTTTTTTAATCGATTAAATGCAAGCCTGGAAAGCATCAGAGACATTTAAAAATCATGCTGACCATACTGTCATGCTTGTGTCTTTATTCTTACTGAAAGCCAAAAGAGATTAAAAAAGTGAGAGGGAGTGACATGTGTGGAAAGGAGTATCCGGTTGTAAATACGGAAACAGTCTGTCTATTTAGACCTACAGATTTCCTCTGAGGTCCCAGCCAGGAACATGTTTTGGAATCCAGGAGTCTGCTGCTGCCTCCACGTTTTTCAGCCAGCACAAGTTACATCCTGTGACTCACCATATCAGTCATGTTGAGCAGTTACAGTTCCTGGCCCAGCTTTTTCCTGATTCCATCAGCGTGACCTACATACATCAAAAGAATGGATTCTGAACGTCATTCGCTGTTTTTTTTTTATCGATTAAATGCAAGCCTGGAAAGCATAAGAGACATTTAAAAATCATGCTGACCATACTGTCATGCTTGTGTCTTTATTCTTACTGAAAGCCAAAAGAGATTAAAAAAGTGAGAGGGAGTGACATGTGTGGAAAGGAGTATCCGGTTGTAAATACGGAAACAGTCTGTTTATTTAGACCTACAGATTTCCTCTGAGGTCCCAGCCAGGAACATGTTTTGGAATCCAGGAGTCTGCTGCTGCCTCCACGTTTTTCAGCCAGCACAAGTTACATCCTGTGACTCACCATATCAGTCATGTTGAGCAGTTACAGTTCCTGGCCCAGCTTTTTCCTGATTCCATCAGCGTGACCTACATACATCAAAAGAATGGATTCTGAACGTCATTCGCAGTCTTTCAGGATGCCACTCAAAGATTTAGACCATGTGTACTTTTTGAAGTTCACTTTTTCCTTGGTGTTCCTGTGACTTACTATTCACCGAACATAACCTTTCTAACTCCCACTCACCAAGTTTTCAGAAAACACACACTGCTTCCCCTAAACTGACCACAAAGAAAAACAATACTATGGATAGTTTGCTGTTTCAGCTTCTGTTGTGAGAGAAAGCATGATAAGAACCATTTTATCCCGGGTTATTCAACAGTTTAAGTTTAAAAACAGAATTTCTCAACAAAGTGCCATTTTGAATGACTTTTGCACCAGATACAAACCCTAATGACCCTTGCTGGGCATGAATACCTGTGAACCAGACTGGAGATTTTATCGTCATACAAATTACAGTGAGGAAACATCCATAGGTGAGCAACTTTTAAAAGTCGTGCAACTCAGTACGTCCTAATGACATCACTAAACCTAGATAACTAACTAAGCATATCACACAGCCCTATAAGAATGCGATTGTACTTCCAAAGAGTAAAAATTCTGCCTTTGCCTGAGTCAACAGCTGTATTTTATGAGTCACGAGGTTCTCAAGCTGAGCTCATGATGATGCATGCTGGTTTCGAGTGGAAATCATTTGTTCTTCGCTTTGGCCTGGCTGATCAGATGTCATAGCAAAAAAAACATATTCTGTTGACTACTGCTCACACCAAAAATCAGATCCATCTGGACAATGCTCATGTTAGAGGTGGGAGCCAGCGTCATCCGATTCATTACACAACTAGTGAGTTCAGTGTTCACCCTCCCTCACAGTCATAACGAAACTATGCTTGTTTAAAAGTGGCCAGCGTGCAGAGTGACGCAATGTCGCATATCCTGTATTTTAGACATCGTGGCAAGGAGAGAGTATTTATTTGACATTTTGTGAGTCATTTAGGGCAGAGGTATCAAAATGCACCAATATTTATCCCCTAGCTCTCTATATGAGAGAATGAAATAATGACTTCAACAGAGGGCCTTAACCACAAAGTTTAAGAAAGAGATATAATAAAATTTCATGAGCTCTACCGTTTGGACTTTCTGTGATGAATATCTGTGCAATTCATTTGTACATACATTTAATTGAAATCTACTATTTAAGAATGGTTTTACATACACTACCACGTCAAAATTTGAGTGGGTAAGATTATGCTCATCAAGGCTGCATTTATTTGATCACAAATACAGTATATTTTAAAATATTATTATATATATTATTAATCATTTTAATATATTATAAAAAGTAATTTATTCCTGTGATGGCAAAGCTGAATTTTCAGCATTATTACTCCAGTCTTCAGTGTCACATGATCCTTCAGAAATCATTCTAATATACTGATTTGATGCTCAAGAAACACTTATTAATATCAATTTTGAAAATGGTTGTGCTGCTTAATATTTTTGTGGGAACTGAGATCAATCCTGATCAATTGAATGCATCCTTGCTAAATAAAAGTATTAATTTCTTTTAAAAAATGTTTTAATTATTTCTGCTCGTGTTCCAAGGCCCATATTTAAAACCATAATTTTTGTAAGAAAAAAAAGAGTTTTGTACAACCAATGCAATGTGCCTATTTACATACAGAATTTTGTAAAGCAAAGTTTTAGATGTGGTGTTCAAAAAGATATTCATAAAGGGTTTTTTATCCACCATGAGTGTCAAATACAATGATCTTGTAATCTGTTTAAGTAACCTGCCCACAACCAAGATAACCCACCCACAAAGTCAGCAAACTAACAAGGTTTGGAACTGTGTGGACAGATTGCAAGGTTGTGACACCCTACAACTCACTGTGACATGCCACCTCTCCCCAGTCTGAAACGCCATTTACATTCAGTGACTAATGTAAAAATTGCTATTTGTTATATAACTATAGATCATTTTATTAGCACACCATTAAAGTTGATCTCCTCACACACTATCATTTTAAATAGCTAAAGATCTCGAGTATAATGTATAGAGGTAAAATGGTTACACTTTACTTGAAGGGGTGTGCATAAGACTGACATGACACCTTCATAATCATGACATGACACCTACATAATCATGACATGACACATGTCATGAATATGAAGGGTTTTTATGCATGTTTATGACAACTGTCATTAAGAGTCATTCGCTCAGTTATGTAATTTTTTATGCAAAGATGACATTATTTGAGATGTCTTTGTTATGGGCTATGGTTAGGGGTAAGGGTAGGGGTAGGGTTAGGTTAGGGTTAGGTCAAATAATGTCATATTTGCATTAAAAATGACAAAACTGAGCGAATGACACTTAATGACAGTTGTCATAAACATGCATAAAACCTCCTTCATATTCATGACATGTGTCATGTCATGATTATGAAGGTGTCATGTCAGTCTTATGCACACCCCTTCAAGTAAAGTGTTACCGGTAAAATAAATAAATATTCTTTGTTTTCTGGGGAAGTTTTTTTCTTTTATAAAAACGTAGGCTCCTGAGCATATGCAGTCAGTATACTTAGAGGAATAGTTTACCCAAAAAATATATTTTAATTTAAACCATTGCTTCTGTTGCTAAAAAATAAGTCCTTTATCCATATTGCTTTCTCCAGTGAAAAAGTAATCTCATCTGAATCAGGAGGGAAATATGTCCAGAACAATCTTAATCCAAATATGTCAGCAGACTTTGATGTGATAGGACAGCAGTGGATGGACTTTTTCACTGGAGGAAATGTTATTATGGGTTAAGGACTAGTATTTTGGCCAGAAGTATTTTTTTAACTGGTCAGCTGGAGTCATGTGGATTATTGTGATGTTTTTATCAGCTGTTTGGACTGACGGCACCCATTCACCGCAGAGGATACTTCAAGTGATGCAATGTTAATTGGCATTGATTCAGTAAAATACATAATTTCTTCTCAAAGTCTGGAAGGCTACTAAAATAAAATTTAAAAAATATTATTAAACCTAAACAAAATACCCATAATATGATGATTTTTATTTAGATAATTAATAATTCCACATAATTCATTTGATTACATGGGTACACATCTTTAAGTTACATTAAACACAAGAAATGTGATTGAACATTTATTGTTTTATAATTCATCTGAATAAAAAGACATGACTTTCTTCGCCATTCCAGCATCTAGGGCTATATTCATGGTGATATCCAGTTAATCCATAGACAAGTCAATTTTTTTATTCATCTGCTTCCTCCATTCTGCAGGTCCTCACAGAAAACAACTCTGTTTTCCAAACGGGAACGTTCAGCCACAAACACTAGTTTATAACTGGCTAATGTCTCCTTAGGACTAGACCTAATCAGAGTTGGGTCCTTATGCTATATTGAAGAAAAGAGAAGAGGTAGTGACGAAATTACTCAGATTATTCAGCAAATAGAGAAAACTATCTTCCAGATCCATCGTTTCACATTCACAGCTGCAATGAAGGAGTTGATAAGGTGATAATCTGCAGACCCATAACAGCCTTTACTAAAGTTACCTGGAACTCTCATATTTGCGGTGTGTTTTGTGGTCTTATTAGTAAGAAAGTCGAACACTTTGATCTCATATCCATTGTAGGACAGTTCCCCATAGTGAGAGAATGAGCAAATGATGATAAACCCCTTTATGGTCATCAAAGAGCTGAAATGTTGACACAAATGAACATGATGTCCCACCTTACTACCATGGATAGATGTTTTGCGTTCACATATTTCCTCTATAAATGCTACTATGGTGAAAGCAACAGTCAAGCCTCCTTCAAATTCCATGTTCACTACCTGCAACAAATCAAAAACAAAAAAATATTCTACTTTGTTGACAAATGTAAAGGGAACATCATTACTGATTATCTGAGTGGCAAGTATACAGGAGATTCAACACCACCCTGATTTATGAATAAAATGTCATCCATAAAAAAAAAAAGTTAGTTTTGTGCTATATACATCATATGATTACAAACTTCATTAAGCAGAGTAAAGAAAGTAATGTCACTTTTACAAAATTAAGGGGTTATGTTTAAAAAAAAATAAAAGTATTTTATGCTCACCAAGGATGCATTTATTTGATCATAAATATTGTAAAATATCATGACAATTTAAAATAGCTGTTTTCTATTTGAATATATTTTAAAATGTAATTTATTCCTATGATGGCAAAGCTGAATTTTCAGCAGCCTTTACATCAGTCTTCAGTGTCAGATGATCTTTCAGAAATCATTCTAATATGCTGATTTGCTGCTCAAGAAACACATTATTATCAATGTTGAAAACATTTTATTTGAAATAAAGACTTTTATGTTAGGAAAGATTTCTATCTCGGCTGAATAAAAGTATTACTTTTAAAAAAGAAAAAATCTTGCTGACCCCAAACTTGTGAACTGTAGTGTACATGAATACATTACTCTTTTGACTCAATCCAAATAGATTTTCTTTGCAGAGTATGCACAATCCCCCTCTACAGGACAGTCTAAAAAGCAATCTGCAGCATTTTCTGGCTAGGAAAACTGTGAAATACATTTGATGCACCTGCAAAATAAAATGTTTACCTAAAAATATTTTTTAAGATCTACTTTAAAACTTTATGAATATTGAAGAATTTAGAAAAAAAATATGGATGTATATTTGAAGAAAGAAGTCTTAAAAAACTGAAACTTGAGAGCCCCTTCCATATTAGTGGCCCAATATAATTATAATATCAGCATCACATCATCATCCAATGAGGTTAAACTTGACCATCCTGTGCAATCAGTCTAAACACACTAATAAAAGAAGCACTCTTTCAATTAATTCCTAATATAAGTTTAGCTTCGCTACATGTGCACAGGTTATGTTAGATTTATTGTACCTTCATCCACCAGCCCAGTGATGAATCAGATCCAAATCATGTCAGCATAAGCTTAGCAGAGCAAAAGAGCTTTCCGCCTCGTTTCTCCAGTTTCCTCTGACAAAGGAGTGAGCAAAATTATAGAACCCCACCTATTAGAGAAGACAGTGCTGACACAACACAGAGAGACACGCATTACACGCACACCGCAGACACATTAAACACATCCTACCGGTTCCAGATGTTGAATGTGGATGACATCGCCAATCACTCCACTGTCAATCAGCCCCTGAATTGTTGAAAAAACAATCTTCTTTTCTGCTTGATGCTTACTATAGATCTTTACTAAGACTCACAGGAAAGTGTAACTACTTTAATTCTGTGGATGACAGGGTCGTATCGGAGAACATGAGAACATCTGAATGCAATCCTCCTCTGTAACCTTAGAAAGCATAATAAAATTTTATATATTTTTTATTTAGTAATAAAATCATCGTTTAAATAGACCGGGCAATAGGAAACACCTGTGCAGGTGATTAGACTCTGGCATGGGGCATTGTGGGAACTGGAGTCCGAAGGGATCGCTCAGTACTCCGGTGATGGTTCCCTCTGGTGGTGATCGGAGGGAGCCACAGAGGCTGAATTTGTGACATTCCTGTTGGTTATTGCTGTAGTTGTAGAGTATTGCTGCTGCTGCAAGCGAGTACAGGAACTTGCTACTGCTAATGCATACGGCGATACGGTGCCGTGAGTATTTAAGACATACTGCTGCTGCACAAATAGCATATAAAATAACCCCCCAACAAAGCTGGAAGAAGAAAACAAAACAATTAAATATGTATGCTGCTGCTATACAATAATATGCTTAAAATCATCCCTATAAAGCAGAAGAAATATAAAAGATAAAACCCTGCAGAACAAGCAGATCTATTGCCAAGACATACAGTGGGGAAAAAAGTATTTAGTCAGCCACCAATTGTGCAAGTTCTCCCACTTAAAAAGATGAGAGATCTGCTCCGGAGAACTGTGAGACCGTGTGTTTACTATCTATGTGAGCCTGAGCCGGCTTTTCCGAATGGCTTAACGCTAGTGAACTATTGATGTGTGTACCTGATTGGTTGACCACATAGCTTAAACTAGTGGCTTTAACCAGTGGCTTAACAATGTGAACCTGGGTGCTGTACCCTTAGGTTTATTTAACTAATGGCCTAAATAACTATGTGTGTCTGAGCAATAGCTCAAACTAGAAACGCTCACTATGTGTGTCATTAACAAAAAGGTATCACACTGTGTAGGCTGATAGATGAAGTAACCCCCAGCAACCATCTGACTCCGGCTCAGGCGGAGATTCAATTAAAAGAGCCCAACAAAAAGCATCATGTTATGGAGCCTTACGGCAAACACTTACAGTCATTGCATTCCAGCGGTACATGGTAGCCTTTCTTAGCTAAAGCCACAGCAGGGTCCTGAAGAACAATAAAACGGTTGGACACTGAACCCATTCAAAGCAGGCAACTTAAAGTGCAAGTATGCCATTCAATAACCAGTAAAAAAAATAGCTAAGCACACCATACTGATCAACAGAACTCTATCATGTGAACATTGACCAAACACACATGGAAACCACATACACAGCATAACCAGAATAGTTTTCTCCTCTGTTACCAGCTCCAACCACAATAACATCCACAGGTGATGACATTATAGTGGATCCTTGCTGATTTAACAACACACAGACTTCAATTTTAAATAATATTTTAAAGTTTTAAAGAATCTCAATTTTAAGCATTTAATACATCACATTACCCCCATTTTTAAACAAAGGTACCTTCAGCTTCACCCTAATAGAAATCTAGACATGTCAACACACAACTTTACTGTCTGAACCAACAACATAACTGTTACTTTTTTTTTAAACAACAACATCACAGAACAAAATAAGCATTGCATATACAGTATATATGACCATAACAGTCCAATACTGGAGTGCTATCCAAGGGCTTTTCTTTTTTTTATGTATTACAAGTCATAGCGCTTTGGTGGTTTTCTAATTCTGGATGAGCGACGTGGACTCTGAGCAACCCCTGTAACCCCCCCACTGTCCTCTTGGAAAGGCTCAGGAACTGCTTGTTTTTCCTCTTCTGGTGTGCAGGGTTGAATTGAAGTGTCAACCCCTGAGCAATCAGTCTCTTTAACAAGCTCATCCTCTACAACCCAGGGTCTCAACTGGTCGCCATGCCTCCTGAACGTGACACCTGAATCTCGTCCCTGAACCTTGTAAGACACTGGTCCGGTTTGCTTTACTATCACACCTGGAACCCATTTGTTCCCTCCTCCTGTGGAGGTACACTGCATCCTTTTCAGAAAAAGACCTCTCCACAGCCCGTTGGTCATGATAGAACTTCTGCAGGTATTGCTTCCTGCAAACAGTGACAGTGACGTCTGGATGAACAAAGTCCAGGCGAGTGTGCACATGTCTGTTAAGAAAAAGATCTGCTGGCGATTGGCCTGTAGTGCAGTTTGGAGTAGTGCGATACTGCATGAGGAAAGGGGAGATCTTATCTTCCAAGTCCATTGTCAAATGTGCAAGTTTCTTTATTCCGCTTTTAAATGTCTGCACATACCTTTCTGCAAAGCCATTGGTAGCAGGATGACCTGGAGCACTCATTGAATGCAGGATGCCATTTTGCTGCATGAAGGTTTTGAACTCCTCAGATGTAAATTGCATTCCATTGTCTGTGACAATGTGCTCCGGAAGTCCGTATGCTGCAAACAGTCTCCTCAGTCTTGCGATGGTAGCTTGTGAGGTGAGGTTAGGCATTGTAAATACCTCCAATCACTTCAAATATGCATCCACTAGTATCATAAATGTGTGTCCTAGAAAAGGACCAGCAAAACCTATGTATGGTGTTTTCCAGCTCTGACCAGGAAATTCCCATGGGTGAAACGAAATCTGACGTGGTGCTTTTTGCTCCATCTGGCACGACTCACAGGCTCTGCTAACCTGCTCCAGATCTGCATCCACTTTAGGCCACTACCCATACTTGCGGCCAAGAGCTTTCATCTTTACTATCCCTTGATGACCGATATGCAGTTCGTTCAGCACAGTCTTTCTCAGTCTATCAGGAATTATCACCCTGATGCCTCGGAGCACACATCCTCTCTCTGCAGACAGTTCATATCTGCGTGAATGGTAAGCTTTCAAACTTTCATCCACATCCATTGGCCAACCCTCCATGACATATTTCAGAACTTTGGATAACACCTTGTCTCTGTGTGTTATACGTGCCACCTGGTCTGCATTCAAAGGAGCTTGTTTGAAGTGCTCAGCTATTAGTGCATGAATGTACTCTGACAAGGCAGCTGTGCCCACATCAGTCATGACAGGAAGGGGAACACGTGAAAGGCTGTCTGCATTACTGTGTTTCTCTGAGGGACAGTATTCAATATGGTAGTCATAAGCTGAAAGGATGATTGCCCATCTTTGAATCCTGGCCGCTGCCATGGTGGGTAAACTCTTATGCTCTCCGAACAAAGTCAACAAAGGTTTATGGTCAGTTACCATCTTAAATTTCCTTCCCCACAGATATTGGTGAATTTTTTTTACCCCTAAGATGAGCGCCAACCCCTCTTTTTCGATTTGTGAATACTTTTTCTCAGCAGGTGCCAGACTCCGTGAGGCGTAAGCAATGGGACGTTCCTCTCCTGTGGGCATGGTGTGTTGCAAAACAGCTCCAATCCCATATGCTGAAGAATCGCAAGCTAATGTGAGTGGTAGACTTGGATCATAGTGTACCAAAAACTTTTCGTTTGTCAGCAAGTCTTTAAATTTTTCAAAAGCTCTTTGCTCTGACTGCTTCCATTCTCATGGTACATTATCTCTCAACAGTCTATAGAGGGGAGCAGCCACTGTACTTTGGTTGGGCAAAAAACGTCTATAGTAGTTGACCAAACCCAGAAAAGCTCTCAGCTCCTTCATACAGGTGGGTGCTGGTGCATCCCTGATTGCGGCAACTTTGTCTGGAGATGGATGAAGGCCCTGACTTTCTAACACAAATCCTAGATATTCAATTTGCTTTTTCCTAAACTCACATTTTGACTTTTTCACTCTCAAGCCATTCTCCTGAAGTCTTTGTAGAACTGCCTGTAGCTTCTGCAGATGTTCTTGTTCTGTTCTTCCAGTGACCAGTAGGTCGTCAAGATAAACAACGACATCAAGATCTTTCATGATGTTCTCCATAATTCTTGCTGAACTGACACCAAATGGTAGTCTATTGTAGACAAACAATCCTCTGTGTGTGTTGATGGTTAGCAGATGTTTGGACTCATCATCAAGAAGAACCTGCTGGTATGCTGAAGCCAGGTCAATCTTAGAAAACACAGTTCCTCCACTCAGTGTAGCGATCAACTCCTCAATCCGTGGTAGTGGGTAAGTCTCTGTAATAGCTGCTTGATTCACTGTTAATTTATAGTCCCCACACAGTCTTATGGTTTTGTCTTTTTTTATCACCGGCACAATGGGTGCTGCCCATTCACTGTGCTTTACAGGCGTGATTATTCCAGCCTTCTCCAACCGGTCCAGTTCCGTGTCAACTTGGGCTTTCATAGAAAAAGGCAGTGGCCGAGATTTACAAAAGCGTGGAGGAATTTCAGAATTCACCAGTATTTTTGCCTTAAGCCCACAGAGTGTGCCTAGGTCATCTTTGAACACCTCCGAGCCTGAATCCAGCACTTCTTCAAGAGACTTTGTTTGATCCATTTGACTGACATGTTAATTTTTTTTCCAATTTAAGCTGAGCTTTTGTAGCCAATTTCTGCCACACAGAGCTGGCCCCTCCCCTTTTACTACTATTAAGGTTAGCAGTTCACTTTGTTTTTCGTAGCTCACATTAGCTTGAAACTGTCCCAACACAGGCATATTCTCTCCAGTGTACGTTTTAAGCTTGAATCCTGCGACCACTAGTGGCTCTTCTGAGAACACAGCTTGGAATAGTTTCTCAGATATGATACTCACGGCAGCGCCCGTGTCAATTTCCATCATCATTTCTTTGCCATTTACTTTAAATGTCTGTGAATTACTTTTTGCCGTTCTCATCACTTAACAGCGAAAACATGGGCAACTCAGCTTCCTCTGCCTCCACATACTTAGTGTTTTTCTCAGCATAATGTTTACTTTTTCCAGCTTCCGTTTTTCCTCTGCAAGCTCTTTTGATGTGGCCAGTTTTAACACAGTTATGGCATTTTGCATCCTTGAAATGACAAACATAAGGGCTGTGATCTTTGCCGTGACGCATAGCACTTCTTCCCTCTCTAATCGGAATGTCGCGCTGCACACACGTCCATTTTATGAACCACTCCCGAGCGCGAGTCAATCCCTCTCAGCTTCTTTCTCCGCCGTCGCCATACTCAAATCGATCTCAAACGCACGTGCAAACGTCATATTAGAT